CTTCAAACAGTGCTTCTTATCTGTTCCCTCTCTACACTCCTTTGAGATTTGAAATGTGTATTAGAACGTTTTATTGTGTCCCTGTGTTTTTTATGTGCTTTGCTGAAACGTCCATCTTCTTTGCTCACCCTGTGTCAGCCTGGATATTTTCTATTGACCTAACTTTCCACTCTGTTAAATTCATCTATTGAGTTCTTAATTTCTGTTATTGTACTTTTTAGTTCTAGGGTTTCCACTTAATTGGTTTATTTATTTTAATAGACTCCAGCTCTGTATGTCTTGTCATTTGTATTCATGAACACAATAATAACAGTTATTTTTAAGTTCACATTGGTAACTCAATAATATGCTGTGAGTGTGTTTTCTGTGGGCCTGTTTCTATTGTCTGTTTTTCTCTTGGTCCTTTTTATTAGTATATTTAATAAGCATTAGTTGAATGATGAATAATGTATGTAAAAATTACAGAAGATCTAGATGACCATGTTTTTCTCTTGTGAAGGTTTTCCCTATCCTCTGGTGTGTGGCCTGAGTGAATGCAGATCACTGTACTCCAGTCAGGGCAGAACTGACCCTAAGCTCAGTTTCAATTTGTATTAGCCTCAGACTACTTCATCCTAACCCCTAGACTGTAGCTCTGAGGGACTTTCTATGGGCCCTCTTCCTTGGTGGGATCTGATATGTGATTTCTGTCTCTTTAGCATGGAGAAACTACTAAGGCCTCCTCTATGATTTTCAAGGACTTTCTGCTCAATTTCTTAGTTTCTTGTCCTGTGCAGTTTAGGGACTTGGCAAGTATCTAGGAAGGAGTACTGCATTGTCTGGTTCACTTTTCTGTGCTTCCTTACTCTCTGGAAGTTTTTCCATAAGTCCTAGATGCCTTTGCAGCCCCAAACAAAAACTTCTGTTTTTCTAGCACTGTGAGATTGCCAAAAGCTGTGCAGACTTTATTTTTTTTCCCCCTTGCATATGTGCCTTAGCTGGGGTTATCACCTTCTGCTCCCAAACAAGAACTGGCAAATGCTCTGAGGGAACAGTGGCTCACTGATTACCAGCTCATCTCTCTGCATTCTCTTCCCTGAGACCTCAGCTCCTCAAGCCCTGACTGCCCCATCAGCAGTCTCCACTACTTTCAGGAGGTCTTCTGTTTGTTTAATTTTATATAGTTTTCACATTGTTCCTGGCTAGAACATTGGCTTGCCACAAGCTACATCTTATCAGGAACAGAAATATCTGTATTTCCTCTTCAAATGATCCTTCTGGGGCCTACTAACCTAGTCATTTATTACTTGCATTTTAGAGCGCTTAACTATGGTAATCATTACCAAATCTATGTGTGGGTTCTGTTTGTTTGTTTTGCTAATTCTGCCAGATGAATTCTATCAGTACCCCAAATTAGCACTGATTAAAGTCATTTTGGAATGGTTACCCATAGAGTAATTTGTTACTGAAATTGAGATCCTACTCCATACTGTGAGAGACCTTATAAGGACTTGAACATAAGGGAGCCTCCTCTTTTCTGAGGCTAACGGGGGGAGGGGAGGAAGGTCAATTTATTTGGGGGCATACATGGTAATTGGCGCATGTAGACCATAAGCAGAGCTGTGAAATAGACAAACTATGTCTCCATGCTGCCTGCGACTCATTTCTGTCCTTTATTTCGGTGCCTCCTCACTAGGCGCAAATGGCTAGTGCAGCTCAGCCTGGCGGGTATGGCCGGAGACCCAGGCTTCAGACCTGAACACCTTCACAAATGGTTTTTCTGATGAGACTTAGCAGTTCTTGGTTCATACCTCAGAGACTCTCTTTCCCTGACATTGACCCCACAAGGCAATGGCTTCAAATGCTGCTGAACCCGGAGTCACCCCATATATTAGCCACACATTTGCCAGTGAGATTGAGATTGGCATCAGAGAAAGTGCCTTTTCCTAGTTATACAGTCCTTCAGTGGTACAGTGCAGTATAATTGGACAGGACATTAGGAGACCTGACGTTTGTGTTCTTTTCATCTATCAAATGGGTCTGTCATACCTGCTCCTCTTTTCTTGCTTTGCTTTGAAAATAAATGAAACATTTGAATCCAGACCACACAAACTTATTGACTCCTGCTGGGTTTATAGATTTGAAAGTGTGAAAAGGCATTTTGAACTCCCCAGAGACGTGTGGCTTATCCAAGATGTTATTTTAATGGCAGAGTTTGTCATGACTCAGAATGGGGTGCTATCAAAAGTCAGCAGGACTGTAAGAATATAAATAAATGTTGCTTGATGAGAAAAAGAAAATCACTAGTTTAGGAACCCTCACACAGCATGAGAGCATGTCTGGTGATATTTCAGGCTATTTACCTATTATTAACCTACTGGTCACTGGCAGTTGTATGAATTCATTTTTAATCTTCTGCTCCTGAGGTCATTGTCACCCCATTTCCAAGACACAATGGAATAACATGAGCTGCTTTTATGATAAGGTAGTGAAGTTGTCACAGTGCCCTAACAACTTATTACCACCGTGAACTGGGACTTGAGTTTGAGTTTTCCCTCTAGTTGTTTTCACAGTTTGACTTGGGAATAAAAGAGAATGCTGACTCTTACTATCATTTCTCATACCTTCACATCATCATCTCAGATTTATTAGGTATCTTTATCATGAGTTTGTCCTTCAAAGCTGCGTTCTCTTAACAGCCTGTTTTACTTGTTAGTCACATCACCCTACCCTTACACACATTGAGCCTGAGTTTGGTTTTCACTAATATAAGGATAAGATTAGCCCTGGCTGGCTCACATGGTGTTCCTGAGACCTAACTGACCAAGATGAAAAGTACTTTGTAAAATGTGAAGTCTTTTTAAAAAATTGATAGACCTTTTTGGAGCACTTAACATATGAGATGATAACTTAAAGCATTGTTGGTTTAATAATTTAAACTATTAGAATTAATAGAAATACTTTCTGGATCATCCAAAGCTTTGTACTTATGCTCTTTGTACCACTGGACCCCACCACTAACTTGACTTGAGAACTGACAAATAGCTTCATAATGACAGTGATGCCAATGAAGAATTGTCTTTGAAGCAGGGTTTTGTATTACCTTGGAAGCTTGGCATTGATGTAATGTCCACCTCCCATGCAGGAAGCTTTTCCAACGTGGGTCCTTAAATTGCACCAAAGCAGACTCTTTGCTCTCTGAGGGTATATGGAAACTTTGGCGTCTTTCAAGCTCTGTGCCATATTTATTCTTCTCCATATCTCTCTTTCTCTGATCTCTCCACCTTTATCATCACTGTCATCATCTTCTCTAACACTTCGGTAGCACTTACGGTATATCCAGCCGCTGTGTGAGTGGTTTACGTTTGTCAAATTTATTTAATTCTTTCAACAGCTTTCTTTTAAAGACAAGGAATCTGAGGCTCAGGGCAGTTGAGGAGCTTGTCCATGTTCCCATAGCTAGTAAATTATAAAGCAGGGGTTTAAACCAAAGTAATCTGGACCCAGAGTTCATGTCTTAATAATCCTGTTGGGGGCGCCTGGGTGGCTCAGTCGGTTAAGCGTCTGCCTTCGGCTCGGGTCGTGATCCCGGGGTCCTGGGATCGAGCCCCGCATCGGGCTCCCTGATCAGCGGGGAGCCTGCTTCTCCCTCTCTGCTGCTCCCCCTGCTTGTGCTCTATCCCTCTTTCTCTCAGATAAATAATAAAATCTTAAAAAAAAATTATAAAAAAAAAATAATCCTGTTGAACTGCCTGTTTGGCGTTGCTTCATGTGCCTAGTAGTTCTAGGCATCTCCAAAGAAAGTAAAAATGTCTAAAAACCTGTCTACTCCCTTGAGGGCTTGAAGAATAGCAAGACTCCATTCAGGAGCATTTTCTCCATGTCTAAGCCAGTTCGGGCTGCTCTAACAAAATACCACAAACGGGGCGGGGCGGGGGGGGTGGCGCTTAAAACAACAGAAATGTATTTCTCAGAGTTCTGGAGGCTGGAAGTGTGAGATCAGATGCCCGTATGGTTGGTGTCTGGTGAGAACCCTCCTCTGGCTTGCAGATGGCCAACTTCTCACCGTGTCTTCACTGTGTCCTCTTAGGATGCTAATCCCATCATGGCCGCTCCACCTTCATGTCCTAATTCCCTTTCAAAGGCCTCACCCCTGAATAACATCTTACTGAAGACTGGGGTTTAAACATATGAATTTGGGAAGACACACACAGGTAGCCCACAACACTCAGCACCAGTGACTTCTCTCCAATGATAGTCTGTGCTTCCAATTTCCATTCCTCTCAAAGACTCCTCCCCTTCCTTGGACAGGAACTTTGGGGGGAAAATGCAGAACCACCAGCACTGGCTCAGGTGGGGACATGTGGGGACTCAGCACCATATGGGGTCCAGGGGATACTAAAACCCCCTCCCAAGGAGGAGGGAAGGGCTGGGCGGCCAAGGTCTGGGTCTCTGGAGAACTTCCACTGCTGCAGTCTCATCTGCTCCAATCAGATGGAGCCATAGAACAGCAGGAAATCAGGGCAGCCTCAGAACTGAGAACCAGCCAGGGAAGCCCATCCCATTTCCAGAGGTCCCTGCTGTGCCCTTAAAGGGGCTGGCAAGAGAGTGTAGGACACTCAGGCCCTAGCTAAATGGGAGGAGCTAATAACTTGGAGATCATACAGACCCCAGGGTACATTCCTGCTGTCCCCACCCCAGCCCTGATCTTTTGAGCAGGAAGGGGGTTAGGTGCAGGATAGAGTGGGTAAAACCCAGGGGTCTCATCTTTGTGGATCCATATGCAGTAATAGGCAGTATGTCCTTGGTCCATGCCCTAAAGATATTGGCGTGTGTGTTCTGCCCCAGGCAGGGATGACTTGGGACCTGCAGGGGAGAGGAAGGAGGTTGCTGAGTGGATCCAGTTGTAGAGAACTAGGGATGGTACAAACAAAGGAAAAAGGTAGTGCCAGACACATACATGAACCTTTCTTTTGACTCCCTGCATGCTTTACTTAACAATTTCTGCTCATCTTTTCTAGCAGCAGTGTCCTTGTTAAACGGATGTTCAGGCCCATGGAAGAGGAATTTGGTCCAGCACCTTCTAAGCAGATGAAAGAAGAAGGGATGAAGCGAGGTATTTCCCCTCTGGCATTGCAGGGTTACCCACCCTCCCATCATGAATGGTGGGGGCACTTCACACAGAAGACTGTGCAGCCCCGCCCAGACCCGTGGTTCAAGGCTGGCCTGGGGATTGGTTATTGACGAAGGAAGTCCACAGTCTTCCCCTTCACTTTCAGCCCTGTCCTTTTAAGCACCTTAAGCAAATATATATTCTTTCTAGGCACTGGTTCTTTCTTTTGCCTTGGGAGCAAGGTAATGAGGGTACCAATCAGCCAGCAGTGAGGTCTGAGGTCAGAAGGAAACTTCTGCTGCACATGAGACAGTAACGTCTCCCAAGCAGCAGCGGTTGAGAATCGTTCCAGAGATGCAAACGACTCATCTCAGACAGATAAATGAGCCTGTTTTCTGACATCACAACTTCTTCACTTTCTCTGTCAAGGGTCTTATTCTGCTTCATCAAGAGACTAAGAAACGAAGTGAGAGTGAGTCAGTGTTTTGCTCTGCCTTTCGATACTGTACATAACTCACTGTCCTTCCTTGGAGGAAGAGGAGAGTGTGGGGAATGGCCATTGCCCTTCCTGTCCTGCTGTAGCCAACACCAAGAGCTTCCAGAGATCTTAGACGTAGTGTGCTGGACTTCCAGTGAGTCAGGCTACCCTGTTAAATATGTTCGCCGTCCATACAGACTTGAATTTTTTGTTACCGAGAAATAGTATTTCTTTTCTACTTGTAGCGGGATTTGCATAGTGGTCAAGAACATCCCCTCTGTAGCCTTCCTCAGCCTTTCAGAGTTGTAGGACCTTGGGGAGACCCTCCGCTCCTTCGAGTCCACATTGTAAAACAGGGATGAGAAGAGTACCTACCTGTAGAGTTGCTGTGAGGATTGATGAACCTCAGTGTATGTCAGACACTTCACCCAGGTGCCTAGCACATAGTAAGCACTCTGTGTTCACTGTTACAGCTGTGACTTTTATTATTAGGTCTGGATCTAGGTACATGTGTTCATTGTGAATAAGTAATTAGTGCTTCAAAATGGAAAGAGCATAAATACCTAGGTGGCGTTAATTACATTAGCAACCTTTAAACCTTTAAAAGATTGACTTCACAGGCTTCCCATCAAATATTCAAGTGCATTTTGGGCTTTGTTCCTGCATGCCTTTTCTAGCACATACTTTAGAACGAAGGCAGAATTATATGGAAATCAAGAATTACACAGGCAAAAGTAATTGTAGCTTGCATCCATATTTAGTGCATGCTGGCTAGCCCAAAGGTTGTGTTTTTCAGATTATTTTGAGATTGTGAAGTCAGTACAAAAATTGCCACTGGGAATTTTATTGGGCTGTGACAAAAAGCAAGTCTATGGCCTTTGAAACATCTAAATCACAGAGACACACGAGGGCGCTGCAAGCTACCAGCAACCAAGCAAGTGGTCTCCTGGGAGTGGCTTTCCTTTGGAAAAGGACAGTGGAGTTACTGAGCCCCTTGCCTGGAGCTCCCAGTCGGAGCTGGTCTTTGACAAGCAAGAGGAATCAGGGTCAGTGATGGTTCCCATTGTTTATTTATTAGAAGTTCTCCAGGAGAGAAAATGATCATAGTTCTCCCCAAAGCCACTCTTTGTTGTTCTGCCTTTGTAGCCACTTCTCTGGGGGGCTCCGTGGGAGTCACTTGGAGCCTGCCCCTGCGGCTGTCTGCCTCTCCCCTAGCGTCTGGGACGCCTGCCGGCCGTCACGGCCACCATTAGCGGAGTGATTGCGTGGGCCCCGCCGCAGCCGCACGGTTGCCGAAGCTGCTGCCCGGGGCAAGCCGTGGGGGTGCGCTGTCAGCCCAGCAGGGGCGGGGGTTGGGGTGCAGCCCTGCCTGGCCTCTCTCCCACAACCTATCCACATGCCACCGGACCACCTCTAACGCCTTACCGCGACACCTGTAGCAAGGGAATCAGCCATACTATTTCAAAGACAAAGATTTTAAAAGAAGAAATTTGTAAATCCAATGGCAGCAGGACTCATTTTACTAGAACATGTTTGGGGTTTCCTTAGGGTCAGCCTGCTGGAAATGACATTTTTCTTTTGCGGCTTGCAGGGAGAACTTCCAGAATGTTTGCTGTAACAGCCACCCTTTTTTAATTTATTTTTTATTTTTTATTTTTTTATTTTTTTTTAAGATTTTTTATTTATTTGACAGAGAGAGACACAGCGAGAGAGGGAACACAAGCAGGGAGAGTGGGAGAGGGAGAAGCAGGCTTCCCGCCGAGCAGGGAGCCCGATGCGGGGCTCGATCCCAGGACCCTGGGATCATGACCCGAGCCGAAGGCAGACGCTCAACGACTGAGCCACCCAGGCGCCCCAGCCACCCTTTTTTTAAATTTAATTGTCCTCATCCAGTTGTAGCTGAGGTCCTCTGGTCTAATTGTTTCTCACTGTGCCGCTAACCTTGAGTCCTCTTATAAGGCCATTAGGCCACTAGATTGTTTCAGCTGAAATGGAGACTATAAATATTCCTCCAAAGGACTACATTTTGAAATCTTTGGAGACACGTTCAATCTGTTTATTTTTAATTGGTAGTTTATTTTTATACTTGGTAAAGGGAAGAAACTTTGCAGTACTTCAGGGTTTTTTCTCTTTTGTGTCACACACAAACCGAACAGCTGCTGCAGAGAGAAAATGTAGGCAGAGTCCTTGTGCGCCTGTGTAGACTTTGCCTTTATAAAGCAGGCAGCTTTAACAAAGTCCCTGGGACTGGGGAGGAGTGGGGGGGCAGGAGTTTGAGTTAGAGCTGGTTTCAGTTTCCAGCTCCAGCTTCATTCTTTCAGCTTGGTGGTAACTGTGACTCCGTTGGTACCTGACTGTGGTGGGAGGCTCAGCAGGGTTTCTTGGCGGCACATTCTTCCTGTAGTAGCCAGGCGCAGGGGGCTTCAGCCTTGGCCCTTTTCTTTCCCTCTGAAGTCAAAACCAGAAGCCATATTATTGGAGGAAGGAGAGAGAAAGCACAGGCAGCTCAGGGGGCTGGAGGGTCGCGTGTGAATGGCAGTTCCAGTTCTTTCTGGGAGCTAAGCCTCCGGGCAGTTGCTGTAAGGAAGGGTGTCCCCTGAGAGTGTCTTCTCCTCTGTGATGGTGTCTGGGGTCACTTACCATCTCCCCTAGTCTGTGCATGATCAACTTGAGACTGTTACGTTACAGAGAAATGAGCACAAAGCCGCATTCACCTTCACTGAGGGCACTAGAACCACGACAGGTGCTTCCTAATGGCATCCGCTGATGGAGGAGCGGTACTTGCTGTGTGCTGGGCACGGTGCTAAGCGCCCCACGTGGATGCTATTCATTTAACCCCCACAGCAACCCCGTGAGGTAGATGATATTATTATCCCCGTTGTCCAGGGAAGACCAGCGCTTGGAGAGGTGTAAGGAAGCAGAGCCCCACAGCAGGCTGAGCTGGGGTCAAAGCCAGGCCTGTTGTACTCCAGGTCCATAGCTTCTCCCTCACGCCTCTGACATGCCCCGGCTCCCTCCGGGCCTATGCACTGGTCGGTCTGTTGCCTGGAGTTGTGCTCCCTGTCCTCTCTCCCCACCTCCCCAGCTCTGTGAAAAGCTCAGGCCTCTGTAAGCACTCTTTCGTGTCTTTCCTTCCGAACTCGTCCAACCCCATCTGGCTGTCTGCTTATTTGAGGAATGCCTGCCTCTCTAAGGGACGACGAATTCCTTAAGGTCAGACCATGTCTTAATTCACTGCTGCAACCTCAGCTTCTGGCACACAGCCTGATGGGTATTTGGCAATATTTGTTGAATGATCAAATGAATAAACAGAAGACGGAGGCCGCAAAAAGAGATGTCCTAAAGAGATGATGGACCCACCTTGAGAAATTCCAATGTGAACAGTGTGGGAAAGCATCACAGTGCATTAAGTGTGACTCACTTGTCCGTTTACTCCCTCGAAGGGCCCCTTAGCCCCTGGCTGCAGGTCAGCTGTGGAGGTGCGGCAGTCACCCTCGTAGGGGTCGTCTGGGTCATCGGGGGTCCGCGACCTCATAGATACTGTCAGCCTCTGACGCGTGTGTGACAGGAAGCAGCCTGGCAGCGGTGGTGGCCGTGTGGGCTCCTCAGTCACGCCTCCCCTCTGCTTCTCTTTCAGTGCTGCTGTACGTGCGGAAGGAGACGGACGATGTGTTCGACGCTTTGATGTTGAAATCCCCCACTGTGAAGGGCCTGATGGAAGCGGTAAGCAGCTGACCCTTTCAGCCTCCAGGAAACCTGCCTCTGTTCTCCTGAGCTGGAGTCCGTGCCTTAACATGCAGCCTTCGAGATGGCTCTGGAATGAGCTTTATAAAGAAAAAGAAAAACAGATTTATGGGAACACTGATCTCCACACCATCCTGGCTTATTAGCATTCAAGGAGAAGGAAACTTTGAAAAACTGCCAATTCCCTGTCAGTTTACGGTTAATCAGAGTAAGATGCCATAGAGAAGGTTCATCTGAGTTTCCATTTGTCTCTTTGTGTGAAACCAAATTAGATACGTTTAACTTCCAAATATGCACAGAACAGAAACAATTAGGAAGTATCTTGCTAGCTGTGATAGTGTAATCCAAAATAAAAATATGACGTCTTTCGGTTAAGAAGCATTCACGTACACATGGCCATTGCTGGGCTACAGTATTTAAGTAAGACTCGGAACTTCCACCCTCACTTCCCATCCCCAGTTAGTCTAGCATCGGGGAGCCTGGGCTCAGGAAAAGTTATCTGATATTTTATCCATATGTTATCCATCCGAATAGGACTTTAATATGACTCTATTTTGACGATTTCTCCCTCCCACTTTTTTTTTTTTTTTGGTACAACTATGTAGAAGATTTGGGTAGGTTATGGCGATGGAGACAATAGGACAGTCCACAGTCACTTGTGGGTCTGCAAAACTGCGACATTGGAACAGTATCTTGGGTTTTGTGGGGCAAAATATTACAATGTATAGGATAGGACTAGAAGTGGAATCATACAATATGTGATCTTTTGTGGTTGGTTTCTCTCACTGAGCATAATGTTTCAAACACGGTGTGGTATAATCAGTACTTCATTCTGTTTTATCGCTGAATAATAGTTCATTGCATGGATATACCACGTTCTGTTTTTCCAGATTTGTCGGGTGATCGACATTTAGGGTTTTTCCACCCTCTGAGTGTTGTGAATAATGCTGCTGTGAACACGTACAAGTTTTTCTTTGAACCCTTGTTTTCAGCCTGTACTCCACCACAGCAGAGTCGAGCTTTTGATCTCTCTTAGGGGAACTAATTAACACCTTCCTTGCTTTGCTTGGCTGTGGCTGTGGGGGAGAGTGGTGCACGGTATCCTTTGACCTTGTAGGTATCCTTTGACCTTGTAGGCCGGGGAGAAATCAGGTTTGCTCTGGGCAGATGCCTTGGGGCAATTCTGACTTTATCTCCCCTTTGTTAAACCTGGAAAGAAAAGGTTTTACTGATGCACCAACACAAGCTATCTCCTTGCTTCTTGAGTGGGTCATATGGGCAAGCAGGGCCGCAGACGCTCCTTCCGGATTCTCAGGTGACTTGGTCTGCTGGTGAGCTCCAAAGGAATGACATCAGCAGCCCTTGCAATTTGGGGGTGGCCGCCAAGGACAACGGGTTCTATTTAAGTGAAGACTTGAGCACACCATGAAGTAAGAAGGCAGGACACTGTAGTTGTACGCTAGGTTTCTTTGGGGCCTGGGTGGGGTAAGAAATGGCTATCTCCAAGGCATGCGTTCTCAGAGGACCAGCGCCTCACTAGTGTGTGGCATTTTACCACACTTACCAACACGCACGTGGAGATTCAGCGTAGCCTTGTGAGCCAGCATATGGGCTTTGGGCTCAGAAACCCACACGTAGATCGCCAAGCTCTTACTAGCTGGGCAAGCTACTTAACCTCTTCTTCATCCTTCAGATGAAAATCATAATAGTACCTACCTCACAGGATTGCTGTGGGGATGAAATGAGACACCACACATAGAACTCCCTGTCTGGTTCCTAAGTACCCGATAAAGGTTAGTTTTTGTTACCAAATCAGAGCTAGCAAAGATCGTGGGACCACTTCCTCCTTTTCCTCAGATTTTGGATTTCTCAAATAATCAGCTACTTCATAGATACGGTCTAAAAGATGGAAAGCTTTTTTGGTTCGTGATTCCATTCTGTAATTTTCCACTAACCTGGCATTTTGGTGGAGGCATGGAACTGTGGAAATGGCGCAGGTAACTGGGTCAGAAACTCTGGAGGTTGTGTGGGAGTTCCCCTTCTCAAGCCTAGAGACAGAAAGCTGCTCCCAAGGAATGATCTTTATGCCCCACAGTCCAAAACCCCACATTAAGCAAAACTTCCAAAGGAGAAAGCAGTGTGACTCTGGTCTCTATGCTTTGTTCAGCTCTTAATTTTAAAATAACATCATTCTGTGTGTGTGTGTGTGTTGGGGTGGGGGGTTATATTTTTTTTAACAACTTAAAACTACATACAAAAAAATCCTAACTTTTAAGAAAATCTGTTTAATCAAGAGACATTATACTTGACTTCAAGCCATCACTTTGAACCCTGTCAGTGGTTGAAAGTGGCTTTCTTTTTTCTTTCTTTTAAGATTTTATGTGTCAGAGAGAGAGCACAAGCAGGGAGAGTGGCAGGCAGAGGGAGAAGCAGGCTTCTTGCTGAGCAAGGAGCCTGATGCGGGACTCGATCCCAGGACTCTGGGATCATGACCTGAGCCGAAGGCAGATGCCTAACTGACTGAGCCACCCAGGTGTCCCGAAAGTGGCTTTCTATAAAAGCACAGTCCCCCACTCATTGTGGACCCAGCAGATACTGTGGGCCTAGGATGTTGCTTCTCTAAGTGGGGGATTCCACTGGATTCTCCTAGGGTACTTTTCTGTGATGCCATCCCGGAACCCTACACCTGACCTTCAGAATCAGGCTCTCTGTGGTGGGCCCAGGAATCAGCATTGGTAGCAAACTCCCTGGTTGACCTGAAACCACACTAAAGTTTGGGAGCCACTGCCTGGTGTGTACATTGGCTGGGAACTGATATTAGGGTCAGATTCTGCCTTAAGGTCCTATGTGCATATTCACTCCAAATGAATCATCCCCCTCATTATCCTCTTTTGGGGCCAGAGTTCTTGCAAAAGTGGATTTGAGCAGGGGAGTGGCCCTGCAGGCTATTTCATGCGCGTAGACCCACCTCTGTGGATTTGGGGAATTGGCCTGGGTCTAGGATACCTCCTTCATCCTCCATCGAAGGTGTGGGAAGACCACATCCTTTCTTTATTGAGGAAGGTGCTCACAGTCTTCCAGGGAGAGCAGACCTCACAACTCCAAATGTAAAAGTGTGTCTTGTGCAAAGTAAGTGTGTGTCTTGCAGTTTTTGAAATAGGAACACCTGCTTCATATCAGTATTCACATTGTCTTATTCCCCTTGTGAACTAGTCTTTGAAAGGTTGGCTGTGCATCACCTTCCGCAGCTGTAAAATGGAGTCATCGAGAACATAAATGAGTTAGCGCAAGCATGCAGGAGCTTTATCTGAGCAGGTGATGGCAATGACAATGAGGAGAAGGCTGCTGCTCCTGCAGCAGGAAGACTCGGGTTGCTTTCTATTGGAGAACCTTCTCTTATTTCTGCTGTTAACCTCAAATCCCCTATCCTCAGCCAAGCATTATTTAGATGTAGAAGAAACCCTGTCCTGGGAGATAAAGAGTCCCCCCCAAAAAGTTCTGCATTTTTTTTCTTTTTTAAAAAAATAATTATTGGCAACCAGTGGTGCAGTGTTGATTGATCACAGACAGACTAGAACAGCATTGCCACCCTTCCTTCAGATGGGAGGTCTGAGTCTGGCAGACTCACTCACTGAGCAGTTTGGGGATGGTGACGGTGCTCCTCCAGCCTACACAGATTTCCTAGAGTCTGTTAAGTCAGGTCACTCAACAGGATGGAGTCATTCTGTTACCTAGAAAGTGGGTTGTTTTTGTGCTCAGCAGACATTGTAGTCTCCCTTGAGATGATATGACTCGGTTTGCCTTGAAAGGGTCACATGTCCCCCCAGAAGCTCAGACACGGCAGCATGCACAGGAAAGAATGGGTTGGCGAGCGTGATTGAGCTCCAGTCACAACTGTGGAGTCTCGAACCTGACACTCTCAATCCTCAGTTTCCTTCCTCACAAAATGTGGACCATGCCAACTTTGAGGAATTGTTTTATTTGTACTCTCCTTGACCTCTCACTATCTTAGAAGGAACTCTTGACCACAACAAAGAGGAATGGAATTATTGGGTCACTTTGCTACAGGACTGGATAATTCTTCTTCTTTTACTGGTCCTGAACCTCCCACACCTTCATTTCACATGCCACATAATCATTATCCATACAGAGGTAGACACTTGATAGAAAAAGAAAAACGGTTCTCTGTCAGCAGATGTTAATGAATGTTCCCATACTTGGTATCATTTGGATAAAGTAGACTTTCTCTTTCCATCTGCATGTTTGATATCATGTCAACCAAGCCACTTATGTAACCTTGATAATTCACTTTGGCTTCTTGATTCGTATAGTTGGGTTTTATTTATTTTTTAAAGAATTTATTTATGTTGAGAGAGCACAAGCGAGAGGGGCAGAGGGAGGAGAGAGAATGTCAAGTAGACTCTGGGCTGCGCGCAGAACCTAATGCAGGGCTCGATCTCACAACCCTGAGATCACAACCTGAGCCGAAACCAATAGTTGGACACTTAGCAGACTGCACCACCCCTATAATTAGGTTTTAAACTTGATTACAGACAAGGATTTGGTGATGATGATGATGGTAGTGGAGGTGACATGAGTTTTCAAAGTTTTTTTGACTTTTCTAAGTGATTTTACCTAGTAATCCTACACATGAATCTTCAGCTGCTGTAGCCTCCTTCTAGTCCCTGAACCCCCAAGGTTTACTCATACCTCAAGGCCTTTGCCCCTGTTGCTTCTTCTGCCAGGAGTGTTTTTCCTCCATGTGGAGAAGGCTCACTCTCTTATTTCCCTCTGGCCTCTGCTCACATGGCCCTTGCCGAGATGGGCCTTGCCGTACCACCTACAGAAACGGCATCTCTATCATCGTTCCCTTGCCATGCTTTGTTTTATTTCATAGCACTGATCACCACTTGGCATATTTAACCATTGCTAGACATTTATTTTTTTTCTCCTCGCCAGTAGAGTGTAGAGCTCATGAG